AGGCCGGTACGCTCCCACAGGGTGGGTCTCCTCAGGGTGCCGTCAGCCAGACAGTGCCGGCTGGCGACTCCCAGGGGGAGGGCCTTCTCAGTGGGAGCTCCCACCCTCTGGAACGAGCTACCCCCAGAGATCCGGGTGATTCCGGATCTCCCTTCCTTCCACCGCGCCCTCAAGACATGGTTATTTCAGCAAGCAGGACTGGCCTAAGGGGAAATGTTTTAGTGGGGTTCTTAAACATTTTTAATTAATTATAGCCAATTTAAATATTTCTTTTTAACCAAGTTTTAAGGGGTGTCTTGGGGTGTATTTGTATTTTATTGGTTGTTAGCCGCCCTGAGTCCGTAAGGAGAAGGGCGGGGTAAAAGTTTAATTAATAAATAAATTAATAAATAAATAATTGGAGGGGGGAATTGTGCTTGAATATTATGTACTCAGGGGAGGGGAATTCAGATCTTGGCATCCATCATGTTCGTGCTGAAGGGTGCTGTACTAATAAAGAGACTTTAGGGTAAACAATGCCTCGAGGTTCTTTGAGGTATTCCCCTAATCGGAACCATGACAATTTTATTTTTGATGTGTGCCGTTGTGCCCACAGTAAAAAAAAAAATGACAATAAAGATTACCTTACCTTACTTTACCTTACCCTATCCTGCCTTGCCTTGCCTTATCTTCTTATCTTATGACCAAAAAGAGTAGTTTCATAAGGAAAACAAGGAAAAAGGTCAAACAATATTTATGAATCATTTGCTTATAGCTTGCCTTTATGGAGCTCCATTTGTTCATTTCCAAAGCAGTTACTGAGATTGGTGGCTGCTCAACAGTTTAGTATCCTTCCTCTCTTTCCTTCTATTAAAACAGAGGGCTGGGTGCAAATTTTTTAGCACTCCAGGTTGCCCCAAGAAGGGGGACAAAAAACAAAACAATGGCCAGACATGACTTCAATTATGAACTTAAATTCAGCCCTTAATCTCTTATCATCTTCCTAGGATAAATATAAAACATTTAGGGTTCATTAAGTGTTTGGGGTTTAACCCATAATTGTTACCCCACAAAAGCTTACTATTCTTGCCCATTCGATTGACCACATTGGCAATTCCTGAATAGAATAGCGTTTATCCAAGTGCCATATTCTGGTTTTCTTTCCATGTTGCATTAGTGGAATATAGCCTGAACACATTTCTCACCTTTGGAATAACGTAACCCCTCATCTTCACATCCTTCATACTTTTCCTGGGAGCCCCAACTAGCATGACGTATTTTACACGCTGCATTTCATGAATCACAGCATTGGTGTAGGGCAGCTTTTTCCGATCCTGATAGGAAATTAACCCCGAGACATCTTCAAACTCTTTCTGGATTTTCTCTAGGGAAAAAAAAAGACAGAAATAGAAGGCTCATTTTCAGTATTGTGTTTCATTGATTTATTTCCTAATTGTAATCTTTAGTCAGACTTTAGGATGTAGAATAGATTCTTGTAGAGAGCATAAGCTTGCAATACATTTTTATATTCATTTGAATTGCCTGGACTTCCTGATTTTCATGTTATTGCTGGCTTCTGGGCTCTGTGTCTGCTAGAATTCCAAAATTTGCACCTCAGTCTGGCTTCCAATCCTAGCTGTCAGCTCCATTGGGCTTTCTGCTGAGGGATCCAAATCCAATTCCAGTTTCTTGGCCTTGCATTCTTTCTCTGATCTCTGATCCAGATCACACATTTTATGCCCAAGGTTCCTGTTGATTTTCTGGATTCTGGGTCTGTTCTTGCTTCTACCCCCCACAGCAGCTGGTTGAACTTCTGAGCTGGCTCCAGCTTCAGTTCCAAACTGGCTCATTACTATGGCTCTTCTGGCATTCCTCAGCACACACTGTCTTCCACAGCCTCCAGGTCTGCAACCTCTTCCTCTATGGGCAGTCTCCCCACCTCTTACCGGTCCCTCATCCTGGTTGCATCCCTGAACACTGCTGATAACAGTTCTAGGTTGGCTCTGTCCCCTCTGCCCCCAATTGTTAAGACCACTTGGAGGTTTATAGGTGCCCTTCTGTGTTGTAAACAGGAGATAGGTGGTGTTGTATCCCTCCCTGTCTGTTGAGAGACGGCTGTTCAGTCTTAATGTAGATAGCCTTTTTGACCCCTCTTTCAAAGCAGCAGAATGTGGATTTGCTGTCCTTTCAGCAGTTCCAAGAAGATTCCATACACATTTGCACGATTCAGGTGACCTTAGGACACTTGGATAAACCCCCAAGTAGCTTCAACAATTCTCTGAAAGAGTGCTAATGACCAGATGACTGCGAGGAATATAAACCTTTCCGTTCTCCGCCATTCAGTCAGAACTGAAGAAGTTTCTTGGATGAGAAGCGAAACATCTTCAAGGAAAAACAAAGGAAGTCCAGTTGCCTCTTGAAAAAGAAACTATGGGACAACCATGACCTGGATGACTGAGAATCTCCACAGACACAACTCTTGGCTGGCTCCCAATGCTGCTCTATTCCTTCATGCAGGCTCCAACCTCCATTAGCCACTTACCTTCGCCACACCTTCAGCCTTGTTACTGCAGCCAACCCAACTTGGTCCCTCCAGTGTCCTATCGAGTAGCAGGCAAAGTTGTAGCAGGACAGGAAGAAGGTATGGTTAAGGAGAAGATTGAAGGGTATCCCAAGGAATCCCCCACAAGGCTCCCATCCTTTATCTTCATATCAGGGAGCCTAGTGGGCATCTGCTTGTGCCCACTGCTTTGATATTTTTCTATGTTTATTATATTATTATGAATTTGATCTTACATACACAATTTAGGTAAGAAACAAGTCAAAAATCTGAAAACCTTGGTAGATTTCTGCATTTGAAGTGTGTTAAATGTTTTAGATCTGTACTGATTTTCAGCTTTTAGATAATCACTCTATGTTTTATTGAGGATTCATAGATGACTCTCTATATATGTGCATTCTTGGCTTTTCTTTAAACCTGCTAAGTTCATACTGTAGCTTATAGGTTCAAGAATTTACATAGGAAAATTATTATGAAGAGTATTTTCAAATAATTTCTGTGTGTTTTAGAACCTGAGATTGGCCCTTGTTCCCACAGCCTAGATTTCTCTCACCTTGGATGTTGGGATGATTTGTCAAGAGGAGCAGTGCCCACATCACAGCAGTGAAGGTTGTGTCTGTTCCAGCAACAAAAAAATCAAAAATACACTGAGCCAGGTTCTCTTCATTGTAGGTAGAGTTGGGGTCATTCCTGCTCTGATGTTTAAAATGGAAAAATAAAAAATTACAATAATTCTATGCAGATTTTTTGTGCCACAAGTCATAATAAGAATAAATATATTCCTGCGGTTATATAGGAAAATCAATGCAGGTATCAAGAGTGAAAACCTGGCAGTTACAGGCCTTCTTGTTATCATCTGGTCATTAGAGTAAGGGGGTGAGGAGATGAGGCTTTGAAGGGGTTAGTTAGGGGAACAAAACCTCTCCAGTTCTTCACACGTTTCCTGAGAAAGGATATATGGAAACTTTTCAAGGACATTCTAGCAGGTGTGAAGACGATAGCAGATGGTTCTCATAACAATGGGAATTTATTTACATGAGTTATGTGGACATCTACAGATGTCCCCATAGTTTATGTAAACACCTTCTCATTGTTTTGAGAATCTTCTGTTATCTTCTTCCCCATGGTTAGAATCTCCTCAAAAAATTTCCATATACTGTTGACCCGGACTTAGAGGACAGTATTAATTGTGAATACATGCAGATGGCCCTGCTATCTCTGGCCACTTGCAGAATCTTGAATGCAAGGTCATAAAAGGACAGCAAAGGAAACACCCAATATCCTAACCCACCCGGGAACGTATGGTGTCTTAGAGAAACACCTAAACCACCCCAAAGGGAACATATGGCGTCTTGGGGAAACACCCCAAAGGGAACATTTTTAGCTACTTCTGCTTTCTTCCTTCTTCTCTACAGTGTGCCAACCTTAAAGGGTGAAGTCTTTATCTTATGTGTGTCAGCTTTGCTGGGTGAATTGCTTATGTAATCAAAGAAAGTATAAGAATAAGGCTTTTCTGATATTTGGGGCTTTTTCTCTCTTTTAGAGAAGCCCGTCTTTGTTCAGCTGAATAAAAACATAAATCTTGAAGGCAACTTCTGGTTTCCTGTATTTTTTACCAAGCAAAACCTCAGAACCTGCACAACATTTTTGGCGAGCCAGACTTGCAGACATTTCAACAAATGTCTGGAGAACTGGAGAGGTTTCGTTCCTCTAACTAACCCCTTCGGAGCTTCATCTCTCCCCCCCCCCACACGCTAATGACAAGATGAAAACAATAAGGCATGTAGCTGCCAGATTTTCACTCTTGGCACTATCTTAAAGTAGCCAACATCAAAGGAGATTTGGCTTTGGGAGAACTTGAATTCATTTCCTTTTATTTTATGCTTGGTCACCTCAATAAATGCTTGCATGTGGAACAGTGACTAATGTGCACCTACTAGAGTGAATCACAAAAATTCACAACCAGGATAATTTGCATACATTCTAATCTAAAGTTATGCTCAAAAGTGATGTATTTGACTGCTCAAACTGCAAGCTTTTGTGGATGCTATGCAATACCATGAGAATTTTGAATGCATGCTAGGTTCTTCTGGGTCATTATCAAGCTTTCAGCAAACCAGTGCAATTTCATGAAGAATTATGGGACAATCAATAAGAATAGAGCTGGAAGGGACCTTTGGGGTCTTCTAATACAGTCCCCTGCTCAAGCAGGAGACCCTATACCACTCCAGCCAAGTGACTGTCCAGTCTCTTCTTTAAAACTTCCAGTGTTGAAGCATTCACAACTTCTGGAGGCAGGTTGTTCCATTGATTAATTGTTCTGACTGTCAGGAAATTTCTCCTTAGTTCTTGGTTGCTTCTTGCTTTGATTAGTTTCCATCCGTTGCTTCTTGTTCTGCCTTCAGGTGCTTTGGAGAATAGCTTGACCCCCCTCTTCTTTGTGGCAGCTTCTCAAATTCTGGAAGATTGCTATCATGTCACCCCTAGTCCTTCTTTTCTCTAGACTGGCCAAATCCTGTGACCATTCTTCATATGTTTTTGTCTTCAGGCCTTTAATCATCTTAGTTGCTCTTCTTTGCACTTTTTCCAAAGCCTCAACAATCTTTTTTGTAGGGTGGTGACCAAAACTGGATGCAGTATTCCAGGTGTGGCCTTACTAAGGATTTATAAAGCGGTACTAATACTTCACATGATTCTGATTCTATGCCTCTGTTTATACAACCAACAGACAACTGACACTATACATGCCATCTGCCTGTTCATGGAGAAGCTACTTGAGAAACAAATGACCATACATATGGTAGTCACTTGAGCTAGAAAAAGCATTTGATCAATAGCAAAATAACAGAGTTGGAAGGAATTGTGGAGGTCTTCTAATCCAGCCCCTGATGGAGATTCTATACCATTCCAAACAAATGGCTGTCCAATCTCTTCTTAAAAACCTCCAGTGATAGAACATCCATACCCTTCAAAGACAAGACAAGACAAGAACACTGATTAACTGATTAACAGTCATCACTGGAGGTTTTTAAGAAAAGACTGGATAGCCACTTGTTTGAAATGGTATAGGGCTCTTGCTTTGAGCAAGGAGTTGGATTAGAAGACCCCCAAGGTTCCTTCCAGCTCTATTCTAACCATATGCTCATGATACCATGACAGAAAGTGAAAGCTGGATCACCCTTGAATCATTAATGTAAAGGTGGAAAGCCTGCCTTAATGGTTTAGGAATGAGGATAACTATTAAGAAGACTGTATATCATTTCTGCTTATGGTCAAGGCTGTGAAAATATCTGTCTTTTTCCAATCTTTTCAGGTTAAGTATTCATTTAAGTATAAATTAATAAAAAGTCCCTGGTTATTCTTTTCCTCCTTAATGGGATTTCCAAGAAATGAGAGGCAAGCACAATATGATGACAACACTGATTTCTATCTGCCTACACAAAGAATCATTAGGTTTAAGATTGCAAAGGTACAATATAGTCCTTATTTAGAAGCAACCTGAATTTGGCATGGGCTAAATTCAGGATAGGAGCTAAATGAAAAAGAAAAAAAATCTGATGAAGGCAATATCAGTAGCCCCTCCTGTTTACTTATAACAAAGAATAAAATAATTCCAGGATCCGATCTGGGTCAGTCACCAGGACTAGAGGTTTGGTCTTCCAAGCTTTTGGATCGTGCTATAGCCCATGCTCAGGTAATTTCTCTCTATCAGAGAGTGTTCTTTGGACTATTCTATTTATGTGGTGCCTGGGGTGGTGTGGCTTCCTATTGGTTGATTGGTATAATAATAATAATAGTAGTAAAGTTGGAAGGGACCTTGGAGGTCATCTAGTCCAACCCCCTGCTCAGGCAGGAAACCCTATACCATTTCGGACAAATGGCTGTCCAGTCTCTTCTTAAAAACCTCCAGTGTTGGAGCATTCAACTGCTTCTGGAGGCAGGTTGTTCCACTGATTAATTGTTCTAACTGTCAGGAAGTTTCTCCTTAGTTCTAGGTTGCTTCTCTCCTTGATCAGTTTCCACCCGTTGCTTCTTGTCCTGCCTTCAGGCGCCTTGGAAAATAGCTTGACACCCTCTTCTTTGTGGCAGCCCCTGAGATATTGGAACACTGCTATCATGTCCCCCCTCATCCTTCTCTTCATTAAACTAGACATACCCAATTCCAGCAACTGTTCCTTATATGCTTTAGCCTCCAGTCCCCTAATCATCTTTGTTGCTCTTCTCTGTACTCTTTCTAGACTCTATACTATACCTGTGCATTTGGTTTTTCTTGCCTAAATGTAGATGTTGATGGTATGTTGATGATGGTATGTTGATGGTATGTAGATGTTGATGGTATGTTGATGATGGCTATTGACTGTTGTTTCCGTGTGCTGCCAAGTCCTCAGCTCCTAAACATCTGATAAGCTGGTAGCAAATCAGCACTCTTTTTGACTGGCTATATAATAATTCCTTGTTCATGTACTGAGCTACAGTAAAACCATACCTTCTCCATCCGAAGAAGATAGTAATCAATGAAGTCTCCTGGCTGATGCAGAGAGCTGGATTCCTTGTGTTTCTCTATTTCCTGCTTTGCAAAGGAGACAATCAAATCCACAGCAGCCAGGGCCTTCTTGTGAGGGCCTGGGAGGTAGCTCATTAATCGTGGGAACACATTATATATCTAATAGAAAAGGAAGAGGAATGGTTATTTATTTATTTCCCACCACAATTAGAGAAGATTCTCAGTGACTCACAGCAAAGGACAGCACTTAATAACCAAACAAAAATGTTAGAAACACATTGAAATAGGGCAAACAATAAATTGTGTCAGACCCCAAAAGCCCTTCACAAAATCTCTGTTTCCAAGTTCTTGTAGGAAACAGATAATGTTAGAGGCAGATAAATTATTAGAAAGCTATTATAAAATTATCTTATTGTCTCCAAAAGCCTTCGTAAATATGCTTACCTATGGCTAACTGAGCTGTGATTTAATAAATTAGATAAACTAGTTTCACATGCCAGACTCAATAATAAATCAACTACATGGATTTTCACAGTCCGCTAGCTTGTGAACTCCTGTGTTTGAGATAGCATCTCAAGATAATCTTTTGGCTCAAAAATGGGCATCTTTATTCAGATAAATTCAGAGGCTCCCAACCCTGATAGTGTTTTGCAAGGTATTGAAAATCTGACTGATTCCAAAGATATCAAGTGAACAGATGAACTCTTGTTATTATTGATGGCAGGTGAGGTCATTGTCTATCCTTGGCTGCTGGTGGGTTTTTGTGTTTAATTCTGTAAGGTCCCTGAGCTCCTTGTGTAAGATGAGCAGATATAATCAGATATTTACATAATCGTAAATAAGATTTACTTCAGAGTTGAACTGCTCCAGGTACAGTATGATTGGACAGATGGCAGGTTCAAACTCTTGGCTAACTAAATAAAAGCCCAAGTATAACTGGTCAAAGTTACTATGGGCTCGAACAAAGTTACCTATGACCTGTTCTGAAAGATACACCCCTGTGGTCATGTGATCATATTTTGGGTGCTTAGTAATTGGCTTCCATTTGCCATTTGCAATCACATTTTATGACATTTGTAATCACATTTTATGACATTTTTGCCATTTTTTAACCAAAATTGCCCATTGGATGAGCTGGAATTAGAATTTTGAACATGTGACTCACTTAACAATCATCATAAAAATGGTTGTAAAATCAAGTCCAATCATGTGGTGACTCAAAATTGAGTCCAATCATGTGGTGACAGCAATGATTTATGATTACAATTCAGGGCTTAATTATAAACTGTATAGTCCTCAGTAGATCAACAGAAGTTCAGTATGAAGGTCAATAGAAATCATTCTTCCTGGTTTTTCCTCATTATTCACACCCCACTAGAATATTTTATCGAGTTCTCTACACTGTGCTTTAGGGACAACATTTACAAATTGAAGTGTACAGATTGGGGAGAGCAATTGAGATGACAAATGTCTTGGAAGGAAACTCTTAAAGGCAACAACTGGAAGCTATAGGTATGCTTAGCCTGGAGAAAAGAAGACCACCAGGGGACATGATGGCTGTCCTCATGTATTTGAGTGAGTGTCAGATAGAAGAGAAACAGGACAGTTCAGAATTCTTCTAGAAATATGGATGGAAGCAATGGGTTTAAATGATAAGGAAGCAGATGTTAGTTGGGTATTGGGAAAAATAGGTAAGAACCTATAGAACAGGGGTCTTCAAACTTGGCCCTTTTATGACTTGTGGACTTCAACTCCCAGAATTCCTCAGCCAGCATGCCTGGCTGAGGAATTCTGGAAGTTGAAGTCCACAAGTCATAAAAGGGCCAAGTCTGAGGATCCTTGCTATGGAAGGATAAGAAGAAAAAGCAGCAGCTATCTTCCTTGCAATGGCTGATTCAGTTTCTTAGCATCTGATGATATCAAAACAGTTTTGATCTTGACCTGGAAGCTGGAGCAGAAAGACACAAAAGTATGTGATGAGATGACTAGATACTTTTGGAGGAGAGGTGTAACACCTTCTCTCCTTACTAATGAGCAGAAATAAGTCTCTCCTAGAACATAAAAAACCTTAAACAAGTTCAGAATTGCACCCACAGGAAAATGTGCCCCATCACTGGAGGCTTTGAAGAAGAGACTGGACAGCCACTTGTCTGAAATGGTATGCGGTCTCCTGCAGGAGCAGAGGGTTAGACTAGATGACCTCCAATCTTCCTTCCAACTCTGTTACTGTTACTGTTACTATTACTAAGTCAGCTGGTGACACTGGGTCAGTCCCTCTCTCTCTCTACCCTAAAAATGAACAATGCCAAATCACTTCCCAAATTTTGAAAAGAAAACTGCAAAGATTTATCCAGGCTGACACCAGGAGTCAAGACTGACTCAAGAGCTTTCATACCTTTTGGGGAGAATAGTACAATAAATGATTTCCAAGGGTGCCTCCATACCTTACATGCATGATTACATGAAAATGCTGATAGAAACATAGTTTGTTTGGGGACTTTTGCCTCTTTAACAGAAAAGATGACTCACGTGATGGAAAGAGTCACCAGTGATTTTCACAATAATTTCCAGGGCTTGAATTAACTTCTGGAAGTTTTCGTCTTCAGGTTCAAACTGATGGCCAAAACTCAAAGCACATATGACATTAGAAACTGCATTTAGTACCGGAAACGATGGGTCAAATGGCTGTCCTGCAAATGAAGATATTTTATAATGAATTCCATAAAGAAGAGAACTTCTAAGGAGATGAAGGAAGAGAATTGGAAATTCTGTCAATTTTTTTCAAAAATTGGGAATCAAATCAAATGCATCTCTTTTTATTTGAAATACTGAGAATAGAAAATATTTCTTCAGACAGACGTGAACCATTGTCATTACCCCAAATTGCATACCTTTTGTTTGTCTAAAGCTCTCCACCAACGTCTGAGCTGTGTCTTCTATCTGGTGCTCAATGCTTTTCTTTCCCAGGCCCAGCTTCCTTAGAGAAGTGAGGCCGATGTGTCGCTGCTGTTTCCAGGTGTGGCCATTGGAAAAAATAATTCCTGAAGGCATCAGCAGACAATGATAAATGATTCTTGATTACATTTTTTGTTTTTTCAGGTGGAAATACTAAACCTCAGTGACATGCTGTAATTTTATAACATTCTGGCTGTTGTGTCCTGAGCCTGCAAAAGCAGGCTCGGGACGTTGCAAGAGTCCTGGGCATTTGCAAAAGCTGCCCGAGACCAGACTGAGTGGCGCCGGCCTTGCGCGCATGCGCAAGGCGGGAAAAGACCGCCTCGTGATTGGTTGAATTTGCCCGGGGATCAGAAGGTATAAATAGAGGCCTGCGTGCCTCTGCTCGGGTTGTTCGTAGAATGGAAGCAGAGAATAAAGACTTGTTAGAAATGCTTCGTCTCAAGCGCCATTATTCTCCGGACTTAACACTGGTGACGAGGATGGGATCTAGTCTATACANGCAAGGCGGGAAAAGACCGCCTCGTGATTGGTTGAATTTGCCCGGGGATCAGAAGGTATAAATAGAGGCCTGCGTGCCTCTGCTCGGGTTGTTCGTAGAATGGAAGCAGAGAATAAAGACTTGTTAGAAATGCTTCGTCTCAAGCGCCATTATTCTCCGGACTTAACACTGGTGACGAGGATGGGATCTAGTCTATACAGCTAGGAAAGCTTGAAGACTCACCCAAAGAAGTCCGGAAGAGAAAACGGCGTGGAAGTCAGCGTTATCCTGCCAGTACGAAATCGCTGGAGGGTGCGAGTGGCTGAAGAAGAAGACCCTGATCCTCGATCATGGCGAAAGTTGGGCGTTTAGCGGAATTCGACGTCTCTCACCCCGAGAGGTGGGAATCTTATGTTGCAAGAGTCGAGACGTATTTCCGCATAAACCAGATTCGGGAGGAAGGCTTAAAGGCTGCCAACAACGGTTGTGGGGAACAACACGGGTACCCAACACCCTAGTTCCACAGGTGATTCAGGTAGCAATTCAGGGGAACGGGGGCACACAGACACCCACACACACACTCCAGCCTGGGAGTCCCACCGGAGGTATACTAACTATCCACACCTCACAAACAGTACTCCAGACACGGAGAATAACTGGGAGCATACTCACAACCCACAACATGCAAGAGAGCAGGCAAATCAGAGGGAAAACACATCCTTTGCTGAATTGGCTCATAGAAGGATGTCCCCACGCTTAAGGGCTAACAGGGAGGTATCCCTAGACCCTCACACCACAGGAAGGAGCCAGGAAAACCACACTCCATTAGGAAACACGGAGATGAGTTCAGAGGGGTTGGAAAACTCCATAGGTGGTAGGTCAACCAGGTATAGTGATCAACAGAGTTCTGACTTCTCAAGCCTAAGAGACAGGCAGGAAAGTCAAACAGAGGTCACAAGACAACCACAGGGAAATTCACCTAGTGTGGGAAGCCACGGGGAAAGCACTACAAGTTCCCCAGGTCTGAGAAGGTCGCTCAGGGTCAAAGGCCCTCCCAAATACCTTGCAGATTACGTAAGGTAAGCATGTTAACTGCAATAACTGAACTAGAGGTTCTGGCTGGTTGACTCTATGTACACGATGTTGGGGCTATTGGGTCTCTGTACAACGGAACAGTTCCACATCTTACACACACTGTGTAACTTAACTCAACAGTTAATTATATAACCATTACTATGATGGCGTCCATGTGGGCGTCGTATTATTTTATCTAGGGGGGAGGGGTGTTGTGTCCTGAGCCTGCAAAAGCAGGCTCGGGAGGTTGCAAGAGTCCCAGGCATTTGCAAAAGCTGCCCGGGACCAGACTGAGTGGCGCTGGCCTTGCGCGCATGTGCAAGGCGGGAAAAGACCGCCTCGTGATTGGTTGAATTTGCCCGGGGATCAGAAGGTATAAATAGAGGCCTGCGTGCCTCTGCTCGGGTTGTTCGTAGAATGGAAGCAGAGAATAAAGACTTGTTAGAAATGCTTCGTCTCAAGC